CATTTTTTTTCATAACATGAACTAATCAAAGAGCACAAGAAGAATAATTAATGATCAAGTGGTGGTAGCAACTTGCAAAATGACATTTCCTCATGATGTATGCATGGGACATATATGTGTAAATGAATGCTAGAGCTTTTGAAATGTACTCAATTTTCAAAACCAGAATATTTAACACAAAGTTAAGTTTTATGGTACCAGTTAAGGCCACATTTCAATCTTTGCTTGTGCTTATGTGATTTTTCAGCAAAAGACATTTCAGCACATGTTTAAGTCTCATTAAGGTCTCAAGAGTGAGAGCCTTCTGGTTTGCTGAACCATGGCATGGGCAACCAGCTGAACTCAAAGGATCTTCAGAATAACTGCAGTTACTGCAGGGGACTGAGAAAAGGTGAAATACACTATCTCCACTATTCAGGAAGACTTCTCAGGCTCCATGGTGAATTTAGTAGGAAATGAAATAATCTACAAGATTTGATGTTATTTCTTCCCTTTAAAATTACTGCTAGAGGAGACACCAAAGTTTCATAGAGGATGTCTCGCTAATTCAGTACAGTACAAATATTGCAACAAGTGTAGATCTGAGTGCAGGGACACGCGTAAGAGTTTATTAGAGAAAAGCCACAGTGAAATATGTCCTCCTAGCCAACATGATGAGAGACAAAAGTACTGTAGATGCCCTCATTGTAGAAAATACAGACAACTCCACTAGTTTATTAAAATCTAACCCTGGCCTTGCTCCAAAATCCATGTTTGATGCCACAAAGCAGGAAGAATAGCAAGAAATCCCTGTTGGCTGACGATCATCTAGCTTAGTATGTTATTCCACAGGATGAGATGCTGCTAAGAAGACACACAAAAGTTTCATGCACAAACCCAATCACACAGGAATCACTTTATATCTTTTCCTCTTTCTTTCTGCTCTCCACTCTTCCTCTTTCCAATGCTACAGGACAAGAGCAATCCAGCTACTGGTGAGGTCTTGCTGTTTTTCAGTTCTGCTCAATAAATGGACTGAGAGCTGACACTATGGCTCCTGACCTTAGTCAAGGTCCAACAGTGAGTTTCCTGCCACTGCAACTCAGCCAGCACTGTGTGCCTAATTCATGGGGTAAGGATTCCTCACTTTATATCCAAGAGCCATCCGCCATAAATCATACAATTGCTCACGTAGTTGCTTAAAGCCACCTGAGTAATTCAGCAACCATTTCCACTTCCCATCCACCAACACATTTTTTAAAGCATGTAGTCCAGTGTTTACTACAATACAGCTTTTTAAGACCTATGTACCTCGATATTTGCAGCAGGGAGTATACTGCTGCCAATTCTAGGTCTTGAGGTTTCTTGAGATGAAGAAGTGCTTTTGCTTTTCTTTAACTGGCCAAATCCTCACTTGTCATGATTTTTTTGTTTTGTCTGCTCTTAATTTTTTTTTTAAACAAAAACAGTTATATTGTTGTCATGAACTCTGATTAGACAGCCAATCTAATGGACTTCGAATTTTGCATTTTAGTCTTAAAAGACTGCATAATATTATTAGTACAATTTGTTGAAAGTAAGTGATCTTCAGTCTTTCAGTGTGCCCATATAAAATGAAAGGATATTAACTTATGTAAACATCTGCCCTGAGTTACCATTTTCAAATGATGACCTTATGAGACTGGTAAAGAAACAGCCATTAACATAAACTGGTAGACTGCCATGAAACCAAAGGAGAAAGATAATGAGCTATCAAGCAGATTAGCATGAACTAAAACTAGAAAAACAACCCACACATTAAAAAAAAAAGAAAAGTAATAAACCAGCCTCCAGTCTTTAGTATTTACTGCACATGTAATGTCAGGTTGTTATTTTCAGTGACATTTTTGAGCCTCTGCACGTCGTACCCTCTATTAGAAACAGCACTGTCGGAACAGAAATGGCTTCATTTTTAGCTCTGTCTCCACTGAAAGTTTATTTTCAATTTTTTTTCAACTCCAAATTCATCTCTGGGGGGAACCATATCCAATGTATGACTGCTGAACCATACATAATGGTATCACTGTAATAAATAATTATAATAATTAATTTAAAAGCAAAGCAATATGATAATTAATTTTTAAAGGAGATTTTGCTTGAGTTCTTATACATATAGTGCATGTTCACTGCACAGTTTACCCCTCCTGTACTTTTAAACCACATGTGGATGGTGCTCCTTCATTTTCTCTACATTCCAGTTACTAGCATTATTCCTTAGCAGAGAAGCAACTTTTCCTAAATACCTTCAGCAAATTTTATTCTCTTCTTCCATCCTTAGAGGACCTGTCTAAACTTGGCCATTATGACTGCAATTTCATCTCCTTTGTACTTTTGCTGTATTCAAGCCACACAACTGATAATTAAAGCAGAATGAATCAAGATGGGGAGTTTCCATCACAACAAGTAACTAAGCACTAGCAATGAGAGGAACCCAAGGTAATGAACCAGGGATAATGAAGGATGTTTTTAACTGTATTTGTTCATTTTCTCACTGTAGCTCCTCCTCTATAACCTCTGCCACTGAACTCTCAACTTTTGGGCTCTTCATTTCCTTCTCAGTTCCATATTTCCAACTCGCTGGAATGTCATTTCCTGAAACAGCTGCCTGTGTGCCTGCCTCTTTTTCAGAAAAGTGCTGTTCCTCCTGCAAGAATAAACGTCTCACTATCCTCCTACCCACAAAATGAACTGTATACACATCAAATCCACTGGCTGCCATCTGGTTTCCTGGTGGATTTTAGGACATTAATTATGTTACTATGAACAAACTTTCAATGTGTTCATGGCTTGACAACATTGTGCGTGTTTTACAGACTGTTATTCTGTCTCTCTGTTTCTGGTTTAAACCTGTGGTACAATTTATATTCCATTTCCTCATGATCAGACCTTCCAGAACATTGGACACTTGTTCCCGACACAGTGAGGGAAAAAATTTATCCTCTTACATCTGAGCTTTTTCCTCTTTAAGGAAAGATCTTATCTGTGAAATGCATTGATCTTTTATGCTACATAACAGATACTCATACACGCACACAAACACCAGGAAGAAAACCTCTACTGAAAAGGTGAGCTCATACAGTTCTCTGATATGAATCCTTCTCTTTCTGCAAGGAGGGAGAGATCCACATATTTCTGCAGTGTCATTTTTCCTTTGTCTGCTTCCCACAAGCAAGAATGGATTTTTCCAATCCATGATAAAAGGCAACATAGCAATGGAAAAATATATCCATTTGATCCTGTGTTCTCAATCACATTTACATACACATGTGTGTAACACTGATTTCTCTCAAGCACTCCGGCAGTATGAAAGCACCTCTTATTTGAGGCATTCATGCTCAGACCCAATTAAGTGCCTGCCTGTATAATAAATTGCAAGACATTACATGCACAAAAACTAAACTTCATTTTATCCAGAAAAGGACAAATTTCTGAGCTGTAAATCACAAGGTACTGACATTTTAGAAGCTGCTCCATCTATGCATGATATATAGGTATAGGTGGCAAACTGTTCTGGTGCTAAAAATATTATCATATATTTTACCTTCCCTGTCATTTAATTCACTGTCACTTCATCATCCCAGTGTTAGTCCGGTGCTACCAGTTTGCCTTTGATGGTCTGTATCAGTATGAGTGAAAAATGCAAGTTAAAACCCCCAAACATGTTTGATACCTTAAATGAAGTGATCAAAGTAAAACAGTCTGAAAGGAGTGAAACTCTCCCCCACAAAACTTCATAAAAAGACAACTATGAAGTATGAACATTGGAGTTTCAGAAATGTATCATCGTGTTCAGACTGGCAGAGAATGCGTGGACATTTTTTTTCCTATCTTCATTTTTAAATCCTAACCATAAAAAAGTTAATGTAAGCAAAAATACATACTGTAAATAGGACTCAAAATCCTATCAGGAATATACTTATATATATCTTGTCTAGATTACTTCAGAAAAAGTTACCTTGCAACTTGAAAAATGACATAATTAGGCAGTCTCCTAAACTGGTTTTCAGAGATGGCAAACTAATAGCTATTTATAATTTACTTTTTTTCTTTTATACCTAGAAATTTTTATTGCAACTTTAAGTTGCAGTTCCAACTTTTTTAGCTCAGCTCTCCACAATTAAATACACTTTTCTACAATGCATCTATTTGATTGACACAAACAGAGCAGGACACCATTTGTCTAACTGCTTCTGGTTACCAAAACCCTTCCAGGAATTGCTTCCATGGTGGATGTTCCTGTCACAAAGTGTTTCTAGAGCCTTATGCAACCTTAACTCAAATCCTTTTACATTTTCTTCACTATTTCTCTAGCACTGGAGCAGCCTCACACACTTCTGGGTAAGCAAAACTCCTGCTTGGTCCCCCTGCTGTTTCATAAGACCAAGCAGATCTGTAGATGCACGCCTCAAGTATTAAACAATTACTGAGAATAATAAAATTCACTCTACAGCACAACATAAGACTCTACTCCTACTTAAGTCTCACTTTAGTGACATGCTTGGACTCCTTTTTTAAACACTGCACAATGATTAAACAGCCAAAGAGAAAACAGAGCCATAAAGTAATTTAGTGCTGTTGACCATTACTTCACCCAAACAATTATATATTAATATATGAGCACATGGGCTATACATCAACTACACCAGATTTTCTGAACTGTCTTCTCATAAGCCCAAATATCCTTTTTCACAATAGAATACCTTAACGTCTTATTTCAAGAAGCTAAGTTTTATTGAAATTTTTTGTTGTTAAATAGCTCCTGATGTCTTTTGTTTCTAAATAAAATGGTCATTTCTAATAATTTAAACCTAGTTTTTGAAGTGTCATTTGAGGGAAATGGACAGAAAGGCAAATTTTCATTTCACGAATACTGGTGAAAATGAAAAATAAGAAAGATAATAAATTGCACTTACACTAGCATAATCAAGATCAATATTTGTCATGTGGTAGTAAAGTAATAAGATATATCAAATTCAACTTACCTATCACATCAGATGTCCATGAGCTACAGTTCCACCTCAATCCAAAGAAAACTTGACCTGTTGAATATGAAGCAACACATTTTCACTCATGATAAAGTTTTGCCCTCTTTAGAACAGGCTAACAAACCATGGATTTCTGTGGGAAATGATGAAAAGCAGTTTAACACCACAGACAATTTAGGATCCCAAGACTTTCTTTTCACTTTCTGTTACAATTTGGATATGAACAGATAACTTTAATTTCCCAGTCTGTGATTTATCTCATTTTAATATTTACACTGTGCTCACTGGGGTCCAGCATTTGGCTCTGAGAAGTACCTCAGAAAGATGTACAAAACCCCCTAGAGGTTACTGAAAAATTAAAATTGGTATGCACAAATTCTTATGATGCTCTTTGAATAAATCTCCAAAGACCAAAAAGCAAGACACATTTTTCTTCCTTTACTTCCACTTTTTATCTTTGCTCCATTCTACATACTTTCTCTCTCAGAGAAAAACCAAAAGAAGGGAGTGGAAAAGGGAAATAGAAAGAGACAATAAGGACTGTCAGGCAGACGAGGGGGCACTTTTCTGCCAACAGTACCATTATATCCATGCATTTTTATAAAATCAGCTCTCTAAAAGTCATAGCTGTCAAGTATTTAGTCCTTGTATTTAGTCTTCTCGTATATTCTCTGTTCAAGCTTAAGATCTTGAACAATTTTGCTAAAATTTCTTGAGCTATAAAGCAAGACAAACAAGACTTTCTATCAGCCTGCATTGGCTAGAAAGCAAGCAGAAATTAGACATGTCCAACACTCATAAATGTATGCAGAACATATTTATAGTGCTAATATTCTTGAAAAGAAAACAGTTTCAACTCTCTACTAGCTTGACAGTAATATAACATGAGCTTGAGACGACACAACACACAATCTTCATCTTTTGGTGCACAGAAATCTAAGTCCTCAAGCAAAGAACAAAACATGAATCCACCATTGCTGACTTATATTGTTTCATTGACTCCACTTAAGCAGCACAAGAAATCTTGTTTCAGAGTAGGCTACAAAAAGACACACAATCCAGGATCATTTAACCTATGACACCTGATACTGTTTTTTTAAGCAATATCTATTAACGCTGGCCTTCCTGTTTTTCTGTCGGTGATACGGATGCAGGAAACTCGACTGCATCAGAATGGGATCAGTAAGCAAAGGCTTAATCCCATTTCTTCTCAATTGAGTAGCAGAACTTCCACTAACTTCATAGGGAGTTATAGCAGTGACTGAAGGGCAAAAGGTATCCTCCAGGCCCCCTTTTCTTGCCTTGGGCTAGAATGATATCCATCAATATTTTAGGATATAAGAGGGAGGAAAAAAAAATTAAAATGTAGTTGTTTGGGAGAGTTGAGACAGGGGATTATTTCCATGTTTTTTTTGTTTGTTTTGTGGTGAGCCATGTTTGCATATAGCTAAGTGCGAACAAGAAAGCAAAATCTAACACTGTTAGGTGCTGCAAGGTTCAAACCAGCAGTCTGGCTTTATAATGCAACAGGAAATTTCCTCAGGAATAATTCTGTCACAGCATACTTGGATGGTATGAAGAGGAAAGGGATGCAGACCATCAACTTTCTGCTATTGCCTGCAAGCAAACTGATTTGTTACACCTTGTTACACCCTCATGTGGGAGAAGAGTTACACGTTCCTTTGTGCTGATTTGCAGCACTTGTTTGCTATTAGAACAGTTTTCTACGGAACACTTCAATAATTAAAAGAGATGAGCTTAAACCAGTTGGACAACGCTCTGCAGTTCAGATTAAATGTATCCACTGCTTTCAAATGAACAACCCAAAGCTGATTCTCCACCCCCACCCCTGTGAATTACACTTCACTTTGCTTTACATTTCCTCTGCCATGATATCTTTGAAGTAATATTTTCATTAGTTCCTCGGAAGCAGCCAAACCTCCGTCTTTGAAACTATTAGGAATAGGAAATGAAACCAGCTGCTTTAGTCCCCTGCTGATCTCAGAAGGGTCTCTCTCTACATTTCCCTGAAGGTGCCCAAGTTCTGTGGGTGGTCCAGGCACTTGAGCAGGCTCTGCCATAGGAAGAGCCATGACTGAGAAGGGCTTTCACAGCCTCTTTCTATGAGGATCTGAAAGAGGTCACCACATTTTAAAGGTGAGTGGCAGGATAAACACTGGCATATCTATCTCACTTTTATAACATATTTGCTAAAGTCTGAAGGAAAAAAATATTATGCTGTAAGATCCATAATTTCTTTGAGAATATTAGTCTTTATGTTTTACATCTATAGTGTCTTTCTCTTTATTTGAATTTTTGTTTAGAGGAAGACATATGAATCAAAATGAGTGTAATGGAAATAGATTAGCAATATATTCAATCATCGATACATATGTTTATGTAGGTTTAAAGAAATTAGTTTGAAGACTCACCAAGTTTAATACACAGTGTTTCTCTTTCTATTTCAAACGTATTTCCTTATATACAGAACTGAAAGCATTTCTTTTTTATATCAAGATGGAGTTCATGTCTCAATTTCCTCTTTGCTTCCTTCTTTCAAAAGACCATCACCTTTCAGTGCACAAAACACAGCTATGCAATACTAATGATGGAAAAGATCTGTGAGTGAAGCCTGTTAGTTGTGCTGTGTCCTGTTTGTCTGCAATATGGCTATTTACAATGGGAAATATTTTATCTTTGGACTAACCCATCAGAGTGAGTAATGCACTATATGAAAGCTGATACAAATACAACTGGAAAAACATGCAAGTCACACAAACCAATATCCAATTTCTTAAAAGAGTTAAAGCTTCAAAAAATTGTAATTTTCTCAGTGAGCAAACTATTTGGCATGGAGTGTAATTCTGTTTTCCTCTTAGAGTTGTTTTACACTTACCATATATATGTTGTTATGTATTGTTTAATTCTCCCTCAAGTAACAATTTAAAGACCCACAGCTCTAAGTTATTACTCCCTAATGTCTGAGGCAAGATATTAATTTATTGTTTCAAGTATGGGAAAAAAAACAACTGCTCAGGTATCACAATGCCACTAAAGACAAAGGATTGTTTAGCTAATGCTCTTTCCCTGTGCAGAACTTCCCAATGAGCCAGCCATGATGGGATAAGCACACCAAAACTCCATGTCCTGAAGAATAATCTGCTCACCTTCATGGGAAGGGCACATAGACAGCAAAAATCATGCAAGACAAAGACAATGTGGGATCCCTGTGGTGGAGACTACTGTGTCTGTGGCTCCCAAGGAACCAGGCACCTTGGGAAGATGTTGCTAACACAAATTTTAAGAAAAATCCCATGATGCTGCTTATGTTTTCTGCCATCCATAGGGCAATAAAACCCCATGATAGAGCAATTCCTTTCATAGCTGAAGTACATCAGGAAAGAGTACCTCAAAGTCAAAACACATGTGGAAAGATGAGCTCTTGATTTGGGGTCTAAATTCAGTATTTTACAAATCATAGAAGCCTGCACACTATACTATAGTGATTAACCAAGATAAATTTTCATATTGCACTGTTTTCTAGCCATGAAATTCTGTAAAGCACTAGATAAGGATTGCTTCTTTCATCCAGAGCACCAGGAGACCACTGGCAATTTATCTGAGAGGACTTAAGATAGAAACAAAAAAGGCAATGTTAATTAACACAACTCAGTATTTTCTTTTAAAAAGAGTTCAATGTAACTGAGAAATTGAAAGTCTGGGGACCTGAGCTATGCACTGTTTGTGCACTCAGAAGATACAGAATTAAAATGAGCAGGTCAAGCTTTTCCAAGACTGTTTCCAGCTAAGGTTCATTATGGATGGACTTCTGAAAAAAATATGGAATACCAAAGCCATTATGCAACCCACAAACCAAGTCAACTACCTAGACTACCAAATTAGATTGAGTAGATTTGCATAAAGGAAAAGGAGAAAAACACAAAAAACTTTTCTATCAAATGATTGTCATAATGCTGTGAAACAATTCTACAATGGAGCCAGAGAAGACTGCTCTATTCTCCTTATGCTCCCAAGAAAATACACTCTTTAAAAATTTATTTATTTTTTTATATTTTTTATGAACAGCAAAAAAAGATTAGTCATACCAAGAAACATTGAATTTTATGGCTGGCATTTTGAAATGCTTTATCTCTAAACTTTAAAAATGTTTCTAGAAGAAGCTGGACCTTGTTATTTCTCTAATGCGATCCTGAGAAACATTGCAAGTTAACACATTTAGATAAATGAGCAAACAAGTCAGAAGTGGGGGAAGGAAAACAGCTCTGAAGACAGCTCAGTATCACAGTTACTAAAGGCTAAAACTAAGATACAGTTGCTAAAGGTATCAAGAGCACGGTACTTTACATGCATTCAAAATATCTATCTACAATAACTGATACTTGAATAATTAACATTTTCCAGTATCGTAGGTGAATTGAAGTAAACTCCAATTATTGTGCAGACTCGTTTCTGACCCAGCAAAGTGAAAGCCAGTGATGCAAAATGCAATAACTTACTAAGAGGCTGACAGCCACAAGCTGCTGAGGTCAGGTACTGCATTCTGGAAACAGTGATGCAGCACCTGTATCGTGGCAGAGCATTTGTGCACTCAGAGGTATGACAAAACTCACAGGAGCCTTGCATCTGTCAGGCCCCCACGGATCACTGAGAGAAGGAAATGAAACACAATGCATGTCAGGGACAGCATTAAAATGAAGCATTTAAAAATTCATGCATGAAATGATAACAAATGCAAAACCGTCTTGAGCACATGTGGGCCAGATACTTGGTAGTGCCAAGCTGTGCTCTCACAGGGCTGTACCCAGAGAGGCGGTCTGCAGGCTCTCCTTTCAAGGACATGTCTTAGTTTTTTATACAGTTCTTTAACAACTCAGTTTAAAAATCAGATAGACTTCTAGACACTAAAAACACCTGATAAAATTATTTCAGCACCTAATTTTCAGTTTATATATAGAAATACTTAAATACAACTTTATGTTACAAACTTCTGCCAACTATTAAAAGGTTGAGTGAGACTGGACCAACACATGTGT